ATTTTATTTGATCATAATGATAGAATCATGATTGATATAGGTGAAATTGATTCTAGTACTGTGCAACTTGCAATAGCCAGTTTTAAGAACTCCAAAATATTTGGTTTCGATGGTATTCCATCTTTCTTTATACGTGATTGCTCATCTACTCTATCTGATCCACTTGCATTTTTATTTAATCTATCTTTGCGTACAAACACTTTTCCAAATTGTTGGAAAATTGCACGATTAGTTCCAACTTTTAAACAAGGTGTTACATCAACATTAATTACTATTACAGGCCGATATCATTATTATCAAACTTTGCTAAGGTATTTGAAAAAATTATTTATAGAGAACTAATTCCTTCTGTTAGAACTTTAATTTCTATTAATCAACATGGTTTCATGCCTGCCCGTTCTACGATAACAAATTTAATCTGTATTAAATATATATAGCTGAGAATCTTGACACTAATGGACAAGTTGATGTTATTTACACTGATTTCAGTAAAGCTCTTGACAAAATTGATCATAACATTCTTCGTACTAAATTATCTAAGATTGGTCTTAATTCTTCACTTATTCACTTTTTCAAGAGTTATCTTCATAATCGCAAGCAGTTTGTCTTTCTTAATGGATTCTTGAGCAACATTGAAAATATTAGTTCAGGAGTTCCTCAGGGATCCATTCTTGGTCCACTATTATTTATTATTTTTATTAATGACATTTCTGATACTATTAACTGTCCACATTTATTATTTGCAGATGATCTGAAACTATATCTCAAAATAAATTCTATTGATGACTGCTTATTGTTACAGTCTCAACTTGACCTTTTCCAATCTTGGTGTATCTATAACAAATTACATCTAAATATATCAAAGTGCAAGATTCTTAGTTTTACACATAAGCGCGTTCCAATACTTTTTGATTATAAAATTTCTAACACCAGCATTGATAGATGTAATAAAATTTCCGATTTAGGTGTTCTATTTGATTCTGGTTTGTTTTCACAGATCATGTTACTGATATTTGTAATAGAGCACATCAATCTTTAGGTTTGATACTAAGAAATTGTAAACAATTTAAGTCTACCAATGCACTTCTTTGCATGTACTATTCTATTGTACGTTCAAAATTAGAATACGGTTCGATTATTTGGTATCCTCATCATATCAACAACTCTGATGCGATAGAGAAGTTTCAGCGAAAATTTCTGAAATACCTTTATTATAAAACATATAAAATTTACCCTGAACGTGGCTTTGACCACAACACTTTACTAAAAGAATTTGGTATTCCTTCCCTTGCCTCACGTCGATTTATCTGTACAATTATGTTCTTATTTAAGCTTTGCAATAATTCTATAGACTGTCCTCTTATTCTCAATCAACTATCCTTTAATGTTCCAAGGCTATCTTCGCGTTCACAATTATTTTTCAATTATCCTACCCCTAAATCTAATTCTCTCTTAAATTCGCCAATTTTACTAATGTCCTCTAACTTTAACTTAATTAATAATGAAATAGACATTCACAACACTTCACCTAATCAAATAATTTCCATCTGCACAAGTTAATCTTTGTATTTTCTTTCAAATATCTCATTATTTTCTGTTTATAAATATTATTGTTACATTCTGCATTATATGAAATTTTATCTTAGCATTTTATGTTACTAACTATATATTGTAATTTTGTATATATTTTAATTGTTATTCATTATGTCAAATAATTGTATTTTTGAGTCCTCTTGGAGTAATCTGTGGGCTATATATTTAAATAAATAAATAAATAAATAATATCAGAAAATTTGAGTATTAAGAGTTCATAGATAGCTTTGTATATATACATAACACTTTCCAGTAAACCGCAAACGTTTAATTAAATTAAAATAATGCAGCACAGAAGAAACGCCGTTACGTATTTGGTGGCTACGTTAATAAAACGTAAATGTTACGTATATTTGTTACCTTTAATCGGCCTCAACGTTGATACTTTGTTTTTTGTTCAATACGTAACAGTTACGTTACACTGTTTCGTAAATTTTACATACAAAATGGAATTTAATTCATTATTTGCCCCTATATTTATTTTTGACAACATTCTTTCACATTAACTTTTTCCAAAAACTATTTTTTTTAATAGTTTTACAATTAGTTATTTATAAAACCAGTTCAATTATTATTTATCACTTTGCAATTATTTATATTAGCTATTGATTTGTTTTTTTTATTTTTAGGAAAATGACGACGGTTGTGTGTACGGAACCCCTGGCTACATGGACCCCTCAGCATTTACTTCAAAAGTGAGTTTTTTTTTGAAAAAAAAATAGTCGTTCTACTAGTTTTATGAATAGTTAGTTAGCTTGAATTTTGTGCTTTTTATGTATGCATTTTTTGCGAAAATTATGAAGCTTTTTATAGATATTTATTTATTTAGTTGCAACGTGTGTAAAATCCATTTAAAAATAAATAAAACCTTGCTTAGTTTTTTTTCCTTTTCAATAAAAGGATGGTTGATTGTATCATTTTTTTCATCTACTATAGTATAATTAAAATTAAATTTATAACTAATTTGAATTTTTATTTACATTTAAACAATAATTAAAACATAGATATTTTGACACTAAAACAAATATGCAGTGTTGCCAACATTATAACACGTATGAAGTTAGCAGCAGGTTTCTATCGAGCATAAAAATGAACATTTACATCACCTTAACATTTCATAAAATTATTTATCAGTTTTATTTTATTTCTTTTATTTTTACTTATTCATTATCATTGCCATCCATCACTTTTCATCCAAAAATATAGATAACTGTGAAAGCCCTATACGACTATCGGGCTTCTCGCGAGGACGAACTGTCGTTCTGCAAACACGCCATCATTTCCAACGTCTGCAAACCGGATGCGGGCTGGTGGCGAGGAGACTACGGCGGAAGGAAACAGTTGTGGTTTCCCAGTAACTACGTTGAAGAAATTACTTGTAGCAGTGTCGTTGGACAGGGGGGCCAAGGTGGTCCAGGAGGACATGGGAGTGAGGATGAGAGCGAGGTAAGAGTAAGGGATGGAGGGTGTAAGAGAGGAGCAATTGGTTGGGTTTTGAAAAGACTTGTAATAGTATTGTCTGGTGGGTAGGGTAAGATGAATTTTAGTTTGCTGGTTAATTTGATCATCAGTAACATTCTTTTTCAATATGTGAATGATTGTGAAACTAAAACAATTCTTCTCTAAAAGTGTGGTAAGCCTCAAGCCAGAAGGGGAATGAAATGAATCAAGAAAAAGGTATTGTTATACACGATAGGAGTTCTGGCACACCACAATGTCTGTTGTAGACCTTTTTTAATTCTAGATTTAGGAAAACACTTATAACTAAGTTGCTGGAGTTAAAAAGATTTATATGACATCTATAATTCCTTTTTAGCACGCACAAGCACAAATTGAGCACGCAAGCATAATAGTAATTAATATTCATTTTGTCCTTCACATAAATTGTGCATTTACAATAATGATAACCAGGCCTATACATTAGATTAAAAGAACACTTGGTAACTGAAGAATATGTCTTCTATCCTTTTCCAGACATCAGATCAACTCCTGCTAGGGTCCCTCCAGAAAGGTTCTCTGGACCTTACGGGTGCTGTGGTGGAACTTTCAGCCTTGACGATACCTGTGCCAGTGGGCGGACCTCAAAATATTGGTCAGGGCCAACGTGTAGAATGGTTGTTGAGGGTGCAGACACCTGAGCAGTGTTCTGCTTTTGAAGCTGGAGTCGGGAGCAGGGACCAGGCCTTGGGTAAGGGAAAAAGAAATGTTCATATATATAAAAATATGTATATTTGCTTATATATATTATTTTTGTAGAGTGGACGAACGCTTTGAAAGAATCAGCCCAAACAGCAAGTGCTAAAGAGTCGAAGCATAAAGAAATGGAACGCGCTTGGAGAGTTGCTAAAGAAATGAGCAATTTAATTATATATTGCAGGTAAGCAATAAATTATACTTCATTGTCTAAAAGCATTTGCTCTATGAAAAATTGGCAACTTGCTGCACTCATATGTGACAATAGGAAATGTTTTCTTTAGGAAATATATAAAAAAGTAGTGCATGGAGTCTTTCTGCACAGAAGAAGTGATAAATCATATTGTGGTAATGAAAATAGGATGAAGAGACATATCGTTTCACATCTTGTTTAAACCATAATTGATTAGCACGCAAAACCAGAATTCGTTTTAATGAATAAATCTGTTCTAATGTACTTGACCTTTTTTGCTGATGTAATTGAGTATATTGGACTTGTGAATTTATCCTTGCATTTTTGTTACTAATATTGCTTTTATCTTCATCTGTAACCTCCATTGAACCGTTAGTTTTCGAATCCTTTTGAAACTTTTTTGTTGCTCACATAAGGCACAGCAGTTGTTGGTCAATTAATAGAAGGTTCAGTTGTTTGTTGGTTGTTTTAATAGAAGATTAAGCAGTAGTTGGTCGATAATTAAAATATCCAGCAGTCTTTGGTTGATTTATAAGCGTCCCAGAAGTAGTTGGTTGGTTTATAGAAGGCGCAGCAGTTGTTGGTCGGTTAGTAGAAGTCCCAGCAGTAGTTGGTCTGTAAATAGAAGGCTAAAGAGTTGTTGGTGGATTAATAAAAGGCCCAGCAACAGTTGGTGGATTTATAAAATGCCCAGCGGCACTTGGTCGATTGATAGAAGGCCCAGCATTCATTGGTTGATTAAAAATAGCTCCAGTAGTTGTTGGTCGGTTAATAGAAATCATAGCAGTTGTTGGTTGGTTAATAGAAGGCACAGCAGTCGTTGGTCGATTAATTGTTTATAGTAATTCAGACAAGAGCTTGAGATAATATTCATTATTATTGATTACGACATTGATGAATAAATAAATAAATAGAAGAGTTGTTGGTCGATTAATAGAAGGCCCAGCATTTGTAGATCAATTAATAAAAAATCCAGCAGTCATTGGTGGATTAATAGAATGTCCAGCAGTTGTTGATCGATTAATAGAAGATCCAACAGTCATTGGTCGATTAATAGAAGACCCACAGGCCGTTGGTCAATTTATAGAAGGCACAGCGGTTGTTGGTCATTTAATTAGAGGCCAAGCAGTCATCTGTTGATAAATAGAAGGCTAAAAAGTCGTTGGTGGATTAATAGATGGCCTAGCAGTTGTTGGTTTATTAATAAAACACCAGCAGTTTTTGGTCTATTAATAGAAGAGCTCAACAGGTGGATTATTAGAAGATCAAGTAGTCGTTTGTGGTTGTTGGTCGTTTAATTAGAGGTCAAACAGTCTTTGGTCAATAAATAGAAGGCTAAAAAGTCGTTGGTGGATTAATAGAAGGCCTAGCAGTCCTTGGTTGATTAATAGAATACCATCAGTTTTCGGTCTATTAATAGAAAGCTCAACAGGTGGATTATTAGAAAGCTCAACAGGTGGATTATTAGAAGATCAAGTAGTCGTTTGTGGTTGTTGGTCGTTTAATTAGAGGTCAAACAGTCTTTGGTCAATAAATAGAAGGCTAAAAAGTCGTTGGTGGATTAATAGAAGGCCTAGCAGTCCTTGGTTGATTAATAGAATACCATCAGTTTTCGGTCTATTAATAGAAGAGCTCAACAGGTGGATTATTAGAAAGCTCAACAGGTGATTATTAGAAGATCAAGTAGTCGTTTGTGGTTGTTGGTCGTTTAATTAGAGGTCAAACAGTCTTTGGTCAATAAATAGAAGCTAAAAAGTCGTTGGTGGATTAATAGAAGGCCTAGCAGTCTTGGTTGATTAATAGAATACATCAGTTTTCGGTCTATTAATAGAAGCTCAACAGGTGGATTATTAGAAAGCTCACAGGTGGATTATTAGAAGATCAAGTAGTCGTTTGTGGTTGTTGGTCGTTTAATTAGAGGTCAAACAGTCTTTGGTCAATAAATAGAAAGCTAAACAGTCGTTGGTGGATTAATAGAAGGCCTAGTAGTCCTTGGTTGATTAATAGAACACCAGCAGATCTTTGTGGATTGACAGAACGCACAAGTTCTAAGTTGGCCGACTATAAGTGATTAATGAGTTATAGTAAATTCGCATTAAGAAGATGATAGAATTAAATGACTATTTTACTCCAGCGAATTTCACTTATTTGGAAGTTGTATTAGAAGTAAAACTTCAATAACATTATCTAGGTTTTTTTGTGATAGTTTATAATTAATCCTAGATTTTTACAAGTTAATAAACTATCTATTTATGTTGCTAAATGCTGTAGAAGAGTACTAGTCCACTTTATTCATTTTTGGAATGTCCATTAATATTAAGTTTATTATTTTTTTTACAGATCAGTAGCATTTAACTTGGATAGAATAAAAACCAAAGGTTTCACATTCTACGAGATGTCTTCATTTCCTGAAAATAAAGCAGAGAAAATTATTTGTCAACAGGAGAACAAATTCTTCTTGAAGTATCATCAAATACAATTCAGCCGGGTCTACCCAAAAGTAAATATAATAGATATATACAGATATAAATATATCTATATTATTATATATTTCTATTTATATTTTCTTGATTCTTTTTAGGGTCAACGAATAGATTCATCAAACTACAACCCGGTATCTTTATGGAACAGTGGTTCTCAAATGGTGGCTTTGAATTACCAAACACCTGACAAGCCTATGCAATTGAATTGGGCTAAATTTAGAGACAACGGATCCTGTGGATACTTGCTCAAACCTGATTTCTTCTTCAGGGATGATTTTAATCCTTATGATAAGAATTCACTGGTAATAAAATAAATGGTTTAAATACAAGTTTTGTTACTTTATTATTGAAATTTTTCTCAGGTAGGTGTTGAGCCAATGTGTATTACGTTAAGAGTTATTGGAGCCAGGCATTTGGGAAAATGTGGAAAGGGTGGTCGAGGTACTGCAAGTCCTTATGTAGAAGTGGAAGTGGTCGGAGCTGATTTTGATTCTGGGGTTAAATTGACATCAAAACCTATAGGTAATTATTAATTGCTAATTATCAGCGTTTGGCTGCACAAATGATACTACTATACGAGATGGTAAGCCGCCTAAGTGTTTTATATACAACATTATAAGATTTTTCATTTACAATCTATAAAAATATATTTAAAAAAAGAGTGCTAGAAAAAGAATAAAAAAACTCATTTGTTACTGTACAAGATGGCATTTAAGTAAAAATAAATACATCACATAACAATTTTGAATAATGTTTATTAGTAATGTGGTAACACTCGTGATGCACACATTTATTAGTGTCAACCATTATACACATTCATATAATAATAAATTATAAATTATATATTTATAATAGCATTAAAAAAATGTATAATATTTAAAAACAATATTTTTTTTTTAATTTCAATAACTATTACAACTGCTAATTTATTAACATCAAGTAATATTGATAAATAATAATATAAATTTAAATAAATAAAATAAATAAAAGAGCAAAGGATAAAATTTACATGAAAATAATATCCGTAATATGATTTAATGTAAAATATAAGCAAAATAATAATAAAAATAAAATTAATAAATAATATAAATAAAATTTCTGAATAATAAAATAATACTAGAAAAATAATAAAATATAACAAAATAACAATAATAGAAATAGTAAGATAATAATAATAATAATAATAATAATATAATAATAAAAATAATAATAGTAATAATAATAATAATAATAACTATAATAATAATAATAATAATAATAATTTACAAATTTATAAGATCATTTGGAATTTTTCGTTTTAGCCTTGTTGGGAAAAACAATAATGTAATTAAAGTAATACTTCAAATATGACATGATCGGTTTGTCATTATAGTTAGCATTTAGAAATAAACCTTCATTAGAGAAGTGAAGTAATTGCTGATTAATAAATCCTATAATATTCGTTTACACAGTGGATTATGTTAAACAACGTCTAAACAAATATTGTTTACGTATCCTCACTCATCATGTAATTGTGTTTGAAGAACTTCATGTAATTAAAATTATCATACATTCATTGACTGCTAATATTTTTTTTACTTTTTTGCTCATGATATAATCTCATTCTTTGAACAGCTGTAATATCTGTCTTGCTAAAAAATATTTTTCATTTTATTAACTTCAAAGATTTATAGAAACTACGAATAATATATAAATAATTTCTAATCAATAAACCAACGTTTAGTAAACAGTAAAAATGTTTAATTTGTTTTATTATTTTCAAGGAACAGAGTAAAATATTCTTCTGATTCAGGCATTTTTCATTAAATCGAGATTTGTACTACGATGTAACTTTAAAATGTTTATTTATCTATGCCGTTTTTCCTTGTTGATATCGGTATGCATACAACGTTGATGCCGGTACGCATACAACGACAGATCTCTTTTCACATACACGACGACTAATCACAATCAACTCGTATAGAAATGATCTCATCGAGAGCGAATGACGAACATTTGGGGAGTAACGGACTTTCATTGCATTTGTACAGATTTACACCCTAGTCGCGTCTAAAGAAGTTTTACTTCAATAATTACACTTATAAAAAATAAGAATATTACAATAACAAATTATAATTCTCAATCGCAGTAATAAATATTGAAGCAATGGTTGTCACACTTGATGTCGTCTATGGATGACGCTCGTACACAATGGTTGTCCTGCGGATGTCATCTATATTCGACGCTTAAGGGTTAAAGGGTCAAGGGTTATGTTAAAGGGTTAAAGTATTATCTATATATTTATAAAATTACCTTCCTTTTTCCTTTTTAGCTGATAATGGTTTCAATCCACTCTGGAACGAGGTTTGCGAGTTTGAAGTAGCAAATCCCTATTTGGCTCTGCTGAGGTTTGTGGTTCAAGAAGAAGATGTCTTCGGAGACCCCAATTTCATCGGACAGGCCACGTATCCTGTGACATGTCTTCGAACCGGTTACAGAAGTGTTCAGTTGAAAAATGGATACAGCGAAGACTTGGAATTAGCTTGTTTGCTGATACATATTTCTATAAGGAATCCTAGGGTGAGTTAATGGAAGTTGGAAAGAATTGTATGTGGTAATACCATTACTTTTGTTTATAATAATAAAACTTGCTGCTGCAGCAAATATTAGTTGTGTTAGTAACGAGAAGTGGTCAATATAGATTTCGGATTTTTACGGTTCAGGTTGAGAGTATCTTTTATCAAGAAATCGATATCATTTTGCTTTATGTTAGAAGAAATTGAACCCAGAGGTTTTTTAACTAACATAGGGTAAGTTATAGTAATCGCAAAAAATCGAAAATGAAAATTTTTATATATCTTTACGTTTTAGAGGTTTCTGAACATTTTGGCATACCTTAGAAAAAATTGATGTATGTGTGTGTGTGTATGTGGATGTGTAGTGTGCGGATACAAATTTTCGTCAACGATTTCGGGAACACGGTTCATCCGATTTGAATAATTCAAAAAACATTCGATTCGTATCGATAAGGAGACGTGCTGATTAGTTTTTGGCGAAGGCAGGACTAGCCGTTCCGAAGATACGGGGCAAAAAGTGCCAAAAACGGTAACTCAGTTTTTAAGTGGGTGGCATCGTGCCTTAAGGCAAATTGCTGGAACTTCCCGTACCGTAACGAAATGTTCGAGGAATATTGAATGTTTTCAAATAGATTATTATAAATATTGTAACATTGTCTACTATTTATAAGAATTATATAAACTGAATTGTAGAGTTGAAATTATTTGTTCAAAGTAAATTAAACTATAGTCAGAATTAAAAATAAAATCTGAATTATTTTCGATATACAAAAAATTAAAAAAAAAAAAAAAAAATGGTACAATTTTTTTTTCCAAAATCAATTATTTTGTTAAGACAAGCAGAAAGTTCTTTGAATCAATTGAATCGGACGCTTAGTTCTCTCAAAAACTGCCATTTTTTGTACATTTAGCTTTGTATCTCCGAAATGGCCGGGCCTGCCTTTGCGAAAAACTAATAACCCCTTCTCCCAATCATTACTAATTGAATGTTTTTTAGATCATTCAAATCGGATGCTCCGTTCTCTCAAAAACTCGATTTCTATTTTCTGCACTCTTTGCTCCTTATCTCCGTAACTGCTGGACCTGCCTTTGCCAAAAACTAATCAGCTCTTCTCCTTATCAATAGGAATCGAATGTTTTTTAAACCATTCAAATCGGTTGATCCGTACGCCCGAAAACGTGGGCGAAAATTTGTATCCATACATACACACACACACACACATCCATTTTTTCTGAGGTATGCCAAAATGTTCAGAAACCGGGAAGTTAAAATACATTTTACTTGTTTTGACAAGATGAACTACTGATTAAATTTTTGGGAGGCAGGTCCAGCGGTTATGGACTTTCAATAAAAATAAGTTTGAAAAATGTCATTTGGCGGTCAAAAATGTTTATTGGACTTACTTATATCAAATTATCAGATATTTTATAGAGATTTTAATAGTGTGTACACATTTTGTGTAAATTTATTTGGGTTCCGTGCCAAGATTTTTGATTACGGTACGGGAAGTTCCAGCAATTTGCCTTAAGGCACGATGCCATGCACCCCACTAGTTATAATTACTATGCTGAGGGTTGTGAATATTTTAGCATATCCCACAATTAGAGAAAATGGAAGTCAATTTTGATAGAATGGATCAACCGATTTGAGTGATTCAGTGTAAGGTCTATAATTGTATTTCTTATTATCTAAATGTACTATTTAGAGCGTAGTATAATACATTTTTTTATATTTTTAGGAAAGTTGCAACAATGGTTTGAATTCTTCATTGAGGAGTTCGGCTAAAAAAATCAGTGATGTGGCTACGAGATTATTATTTGCACATTGAATATAATATAGTAATGTATTAATTATATATATATATATATATATATATATATATATATATGTATATATTACGATACATATGGATCTGATTGAGATCTTGATTTTACAGTATAGTATTTTATTTTAAATATTATAAAATAGTCAAATTGTTTGTCAATTCGATTAAGATATATATAAACACACTTTATATATATATATATATATATATATATATATATATAAATTTTATATTTTTTCTTTGACGTTGCAGCGTAGTCTTGAAATGTTCATTTGCAGTCAAATAGTCTAAATAAAAGGCAATAAATAATTAACTATTTATTATATACTTTTTGACACTGTATGTGTGTCATCATTCAGCATGTTTAACAAATTTAAATCAGGAAAAAACTACAAATAAAAATTATTAAAATTTTTCAATGAGAAAAACTAAAGCTTTGAACAAAATAAAATAAATAAATAAACTTAAAGTTAAATAATAAAATTATTTAGCTAGTCAGATGACTGCCGAATTGTAAAATAATATATTTAGTTTTGTGGGTGTTTTTTCCTGGATATTTATTGCTTTTTATTGTGAGAATTTGGCCATAAAAAATTATTAATATATTTAATATTGTTATGATCAAATACAAATGTTAAAAATTAATAATGTCATATATATATATATATATATATATATATATATATATATATATATCAAATGTATGTTGTTAATATTTAAGGGCAATACATCAATTTCAAAGATTTCTATAGTTTGTATAAGTTTTTATTATAATCCATATGTGACCACTGATGATGATATAAAATTATATATCGAAACATATGGATTAAAATAAAAATTTATACAAAATATAGAAATCTTTGAAATTGATATATTGCCCTTAAATATTAACAACATATATATATATATATATATATATATATATATATATATATATATTTGAAAATTACTTCCAATATATTTATGCATTTAGCTGACTAGCTTTAGAGCGATATATATTTTATATAAATTTCTATATATATATATGGTTATAAATTTTAAATCGAATAATTTACATATCTTTAACAAATTAAATATCATTATGTATATGCATATATATATATATATATATATATATATATATATATATATATATATACATAAATATGCATATTTGTATATTTATAATAATGTCCGAGTTGTGAAATTCTGACCGCATTAAAAATGAAAATTATATTTTAAATAAAAGTTAATGTTTAATATTATGTATTGAATTATTTCTCACCTTTCCTATATAATTATTCAGTGTAGATTTTATTATGTTTTATCAGCAGTTGTAAAAATAATTGTAAAATATAATAATAAAACTAGGTGTAAGTGGCATTTTGTCTTAAGGCAGTTACAAGAAATAATCGACTTAGTAAACAAGATTGCACTTTGAATTAAACAGCTATTTAGATAAAAAATTTAACTGTTTATTTTAGAAGTAAATTTTTCTCTTGATACACTTTAAACACACATATAATATATGCATTAATTGTAATAATTAGAGTGCACGAACGCGCACTTAATATGAATTTTTCTATTTTTTTCTATTTATTTATTCAATATTATTCTGCAATATGTTATTGCAATGTTATATATTATGTTAATAATATAAATCAATGTAATGTAAATGTAAATATATAATATTTGTATAAATATATTTATTTTTAGTCTTGGGTAGGTGGTGAATTCTTAACAAGTACTACACGAACAAAACCTCGTGGAACAAGTGGAGGTAAGTAAAGCCTTTTATGTATAGCCAAGCATTATTTTTAGAATTAACAGAAAAGTGCTTGTTTTCTAGACGCTTCAGCAAGATTATTGGAGCAGAGACCATTGATAAAAATGATATATCCCTCATTAGCAAATGTTCGAGCAAGTCACGATGGTCTGATGGGTGGTGGTTGTCTTCCTTACAATGTTAAAACACATTCAAAACAGAATTGGCTTGTGTCAATATTACAGTAAGTGGAAAAATAACTTAGCTGAAAAATATACGATAAAGTCAGTAACAAATTTTTATAATTAAACCAGTTTTTGTTGGCCTACAATAATTTAGAATTTTGGTTTGAACCATAAACTCTATTGCCTTTTTTTTTTTCAATATTTAATTACCAAAAAATTGAGGGTCGGAACAATATTTTAGAATGTTGGTTTGAACCATGAACTCTATTGCATTTTTTTTTTCAATATTTAATTACATTAAATGGCTGGCACAGAATTACAAAAGGGCTTTACCCCTTTTTTAGTGTTTTCCGCACTCAATAGAGGGTCTACTGTGCCTCACTTCACCACTCTTTTTAAAGTACTGGTTCTCTTATTATAATATACACATTTAATGTTTAATATTATGTTTTATATATTTTTGTGAAAACATACTTGTGACTTGGTGGAAAAAATATTTTATACTGTTCTCATTTCATTTATTAAAGTTAACCAGTTAATCTTTCTTATGTGATTTATATAAATCTCATCTATGATTAAACCTAGCGGTAAATTTACTTGCTAAAGTTAGTGGCGCCCCTATGGAGTGCGGAAACAATTAAAATTGAATTGATCATAACCATTTGAAAATCTTTCAAATGGTTATGAAATTTTAAGAATGTTCAGGCTTTTATTATGAAAACGGAATATTTTGCTTGATTTTACTTTTCTACTAATTCTAAAGAAACGGCTTATGCTTATTTATCTATGGCTCAGCCCATGATTAAGTTTCGAGTTTTATGGAATAGTTTTTCACATTTTTGAAATCGGTGCAGCTAACAAAAACTTAAATCTCAGCCACGTTTTTAACTTCCCGTAGGGCAATGGAATAGTTGCCATTGCCGTAGGGCAATGGAATAGTTTTTCACATTTTTGAAATCGGTGCAGCTAACAAAAACTTAAATCTCAGCCACGTTTTTAACTTCCCGTAGGGCAAGATAGTAATCGCAAAAAAATCGAAAATGAAAATTTTTATATATCTTTACGTTTCAAAGGTTTCTGAACATTTTGGCATACCTTAGAAAAAATGGATGTATGTGTGTGTGTGTATGTGTGTGTATGTATGTACGTGTGCGGATACAAATTTTCGTCGACGATTTCGGGAACACGGATCAACCGATTTGAATAATTCAAAAAACATTCGATTCGTATTGATAAGGAGACGTGCTGATTAGTTTTTGGCGAAGGCAGATCTAGCCGTTCCGAAGATACGGGGCAAAAAGTGCCGAAAACGGTAACTCAGTTTTTAAGAGAACGGAGCGTCCGATTTAAATAATTCAAAAAACATTTCACTTGTATTGACAAGATGAAGAATCGATAAAATTTTCATAAAGGTAGGTCTAGCGGTTTCGGAGATATGGAGGAAAAAGTAAAAAAATTAGCCATTTGGCGGTCAAAAATGATCATTAGACATATGCACATCAAATTATCAGATGTTTTATAGAGATTTTAACAATAAGTATACATTTTGTTAACATTCCTATGGGTTCCGTACCAATGCTTATGCGTTAGACAGCGACGCGGCGCTTACGCGCTTTATATTTTGTCCCTATGCAGTTAAATCAGTACGATTGCTTTGAAAAAAAAGTTCAGATCTTCCACAATATGTCAAAATAAAGAAAAAAAAATTTTTTTCAAAAAAAAAATTAAAAATTTTTTTTTTTTTTTTTAATTTTTTTTTTTCAAAAAAAAGTAATTTTTTGTCCATATATATAGTTTCTCAAAAATCTTATTTTTTTCAAAGTACATTTTTTTCAAAAATGTTAATCGTTTTTAAAAAATTAATAATTTTTGGTACGGGAAGTTCCAGCAATTTGCCTTAAGGCACGATGCCTCAATTGCCTTAAGACAGAATTCCACTTACAGCTAGTTTATCAAAAGATGCAGAATGACTTGAATTACTCCCTCAAGACGTTAAAAACTAAAGCATCTCTCTTTATTAAAAATAACTAATGTATTAGAATATAAAATAACAATACTTTCCATATATTAAATTTTATTAATTATTATACACTGCATTCAACTTTCCTCGTCTCCTTTCTTAAACATGCTAAGTAAATGAGCAGGCGACTTAAAATAATTCTCAAACAATATCACAACTTTATCCTTCGCCTTAAACCTATGGTCCCTCCACGGTATACTCGCCAAACCCTCATACTCATTCAAATCCCCTGCCTTCAGATCAACAACCCTCTTCATCCAGGGCAACAATCCCATCTGCACCATCTTATAATCCTCATCCTTCTGGTACACTCGACAAACGTACTCCTGGATCACCATCAGTGACATGATATTCATGCTAATCAAGCCTCCCAAGAAACAAGTCATTTCTAGAGATGAGAATTGTGCAAAGGCTGATGAGAATGTGTCGATGGTGAGGAGTTCATTGGAACCCGATGATGGGATAAAGACAGCAGCAGTTCCTAGGAATCCGATTATGCTAGCAACGCTTATGGAGTGTAAGGCATATACGTAGTTGGTTAAGGGGCCTCGATAGATCATTTCCCAGTCTTGGGGAATTCCGTCTTCGCGTTTGAATTTGTTCTCGCGGCCTGAAATGTGTCTTTCAATGTTTAAACTCATGGAACGTGCAGGAACCCTAGTTGGGGCCATATTTGAGGTTAGGTGAGGCCGACAAGATGTACATTTTTGCAGGTACGTTGGTTTAGATAATTTATTTATTACAAGTGTTAATCTTCTAGAAAACATTGTAATATAATATATAATAATTATTTTACAAGTCTATAAACTGATTTATTTTTAGTTATGCAATGGTAAACTACTTTTCAAAACACAACATTTTTAGTGTATGATTAAATATAGAATTGTACAGGTATAGTTTTATATTCATTGCATGTATAAACTTTTTTTAAATTAATTATTCATTAACTAATAACATTTTTACGTTTATTTATAATAAACCAAAAAGTAAACAAAGTTTTAAGAAATGTCAAAAGCATGTGGCGCCATCTTTTATTCGTTTACTTAAAATGTGGTGAGTTTCTTTGATAAATAAATATATCTTTAATTTTAAATTTTATCCCGCGACGTTTATTAATCACGTGATGCATTTTTTTTAAGAATTTTTGGATCCCCTCCCCATGGTGATACATGGTGATATTCAAATTAACCCCCCCTTCCTCCATCAAACATTACATGTATTTTCAGTTACGAGAATAAATTGAAATATTTATTTATTTTTTTTGAAAATTTTTGGATTTTTTTTAAAATCAGGTAAAAAACTTGTGGGGCGCATGGCATCGTGCCTTAAGGCAAATTGCTGGAACTTCCCGTACCAAAAATTAATTTTTTTTTAAAAGATTAACAATTTTGAAAAAATTAGATTTTTGAGATACTATAAATTTTTAACAAAATATATAGAAAGTATTGTTATTTTATATTCCAATACATTAGTAATTTTAATAAAAATAAAAATCATTCTGAATCTTTTGATAACAAAATTCCTGAGATTTAAATTTTTGTTGGCTGCACCGATTTCAAAAATTTAACTAGTGGGGCGCATGGCATTGTGCTTTAAGGCAAATTTTTTTAAAAAAAGATTAACATTTTTGAAAAAATTTTACTTTGAAAAAATCAGATTTTTGAGAAACTATAAATTTTTGGCAAAAATTCACATTTTTTTTTTGGCAAAAAAGGATTTTTGAAAAAAATGTTTTTTCTATTTTGAAATATTTTGGAAATTCTGAACGTTTTTTCAAAGCAATCGTACTGCTTTAACTGCATACACGAAATATCGGAGCGCGTAAGCGCCGCGTCGCCGTCTAACGGATGAACATTGGTACGGAACCCATAGGAATGTAAACAAAATTTATACTTATTGTTAAAATCTCTATAAAATATCTGATAATTTGATGTGAATATGTTTAATGATCATTTTTGACCGCCAAATGGCATTTATTTTAATTTTTTCACTAGACGCTCTACCTGCCTTTTTGAAAATTTTATCAATTCTACATCTTGTCAATACAAGTAAAATGTTTGTTGAATTATTAAAATCGGACGCTCCGTTCTCTTAAAAACAAAGTTACCGTTTGTGGCACTTTTTGCCGCTTATCTTCGAAACGGCTAGACCAGCTTAAGCCAAAAACTAATCAGCACGTCTCATTATCAACAGCAATCGAATGCTTTTTGAATTATTCAAATCGGTTGAACCGTGTTCCCGAAATCGTCGACGAAAATTTGTATCCGCACACACACACATACACATACATCCATTTTTTCTCCAAAGGAATGCCAAAATGTTCAGGAACCTCTAAAACGTAAAGATATATAAAAGTTTTTCGATTTTTTTTGCGATTACTATAACTTACCCTACGGGAAGTTAATAAATGATATTTTACTATACCCTTCCCTCCCCCGCAAAGTTCTTTACGGATCAGGGACATGGATTCTGAAAAGGCTGAGAAATACTATTGTTGCAAAATCAGCGGCAAAATACTAAGAAATAACGAAATATATTTTTGCAATAATTAAATTAAGCATAAACAAATATATTAGGAACAATTTGTTCTTTGTATAAAAGTTCGACTATCCTCGTAGGTTTAGCCTATCCTAGACAGGTTAGTCTAGGACGTCTTAAAAAACAACAAATATACAAAACATACAATATTTTTTACATTTGATAAAACAAATTATATTACGATGAGCAAATAATTTAGAATAGAATATCCTTGCTTTTTGTCTAAAAGTTCGGATATCATCGGCAGGTTTCGCCTATCCTAGACAGAATAGGCTAGAACGTCTCAAGAGTAGAATATAGATGGTCGAAAATAAGAACACAAATATTTTTATATTTGGCAAAACAAATTATATTTTGATGAACAAATAGTTGAGAATAGAATAACTTTGCTTTTTGTCTAAAAGTTCGGTATCCTCGCAGGCTTCGCCTATCCTAGACAGAGGCTAGTCTAGGACGTCTTGAGAGTAGAATATAG